CTTGGTTCGCCTAGCCGCTGCACTGTTAGTTCGGCTTGCCGGACTATGTCTGCAGCCACAAAATTATCCGAAACACCCGTGTCAATAAGGATCTTAACAAAGCTACCTTCGAGCTTCCCTCGGAGGGCTAGTAGATTTCACGAACGACTCTCTACCAAAGTTGCTCGTGTAATGAGTAACTTTGAGTTAGGGACTGGATCACATACCTCAGTTTGGACTTCACCCGACTTAATGGCCATATTGGCTCTGGCCTTCTTCGGGTAGGGACATTCCCTCGAAAAGTGTCCCGCTTCACCGCAGTTGTAGCATATATTGTTTCCCACGCTGCTATACTACTTGACCTTCTTATCCATGGGTTTGTCTCTTTTCGCTTGACTCCCCCACGTACTCGCTCGCTGGCCACTGGATTTGCCTTTTCGGAACCTTGAGGACTCATTCTTAGAGAAACTCTTCTTGAATTTCCCTCTGCTAAACATTCCCCTTGGTTTGGCCCCTTTGCTAAATGTGGACCCCGACCCTGTCGTGTTCCCTTTTTGCAAGTTATCGTTTAAATACACCTTGATAGCCACATCCAACACTTCTTTGTAATTGGTCGGGTTCCAACGTATTACTTCGCCGCGAGCCCAGGTTTGCAAGCCTGATATAAAGGCATGGAATGTATCCATATCACCCATATCCGTGACTAGTATCCTCTTTGCCATAAATCCATTCACATACTCTTGAATGGTTCCGGTTTACTTCACAGCCTACTCACCTCATCCCTTAGGTGTAGAGTAGCATTTGGAGGAATATATGTTGCATAGATCCTCGCCTTCATCATTTCCCAAGTGGCCACCGGTCCTTCATTAGCCTCCGTCTTTCTCCACCAAAACTTGGCATTATCTGCCAAGTATGGTTTTGCACATGGAACCTTCTCCGAGCTCAATAACCGCAATGCTCGGAAGTAGTCCTCCATATCGTAAAACCAATCCTCCACCACCTTATAGTCGTTCACTCCCTTGAAGACCGGTGGGGGCTTTGGTTTGTACTTGGGAACTGCCTGAGGGACTGATTCCACTTCGGTCTGTTCGACCTTGTCCGGTTTTGCCTCAGTCCCTGCCGAAGGGTCCGCACCTTCTGCGCTGCCAGCATCCACAGTCTTTCGCTTTTTCTTCTGCTTCTCGTCATGTTTTAGCTTGCGTACGAGAGTCTCCAGCAGGGCATTGGTCTGCGCCAATTGTCCTTCTAGAACGTCCAATCGAGCCTTGGACAACTGAACCTCGCCACCGGACTCCTGTTTAGAAGTTTCCTCACTGGAGTCCTCCTCATGCAAGGATTCCTCATCCATAGCCTCTTGTTCAACCGAAGGCTCCAGCTCTGGCGAAGGTTCTGTCTCCGCCTGGGTTCGCTTACGCCCCACCCTTGCCATCTCCCAGCAATCCACCTCTATCCTTCGCTAGAACTGAGGAAAAGGCTCCGATACCAAATTGTAAGCAACAAATTTTTCCTTTCCAATTTGCCAGCTTACCTCGTCTATCCGACCAACACTGCCTTGGCTTGTGCTAAGTTCCCTCGCCAAGGTTCTCGCCTATTGTACCAGCTCCTACTTGGTCCTACTTGGTTTCAGCTACTCATTGCACGAACAACGGAGTGTTAGCCATCCATCTACGGATTCCCAAATCTCTCCCAATCCCCCTCTCCGGGTTAGACTGGACTTAAGGTTCGGCTACACTCCCCGTAGGCACAAGCAGCCAAGCACACCAAGCCTTCAGGTTCCTAACACCCCTTGGTACAACAAGACTTAATCATGGGACCCTTTAAATCCCAAGCCTTGGGTGTAGCACTTGCTTCGGGACATCGGGGCGACACACCGTGGCCTAGCGGCCCGGTATGGGTACCTCTACCCCCCCACTTCCATCCCGAAGGGAAGGCCCAAGCCCCTGGAAGGGCGAGGACCAATGAGCCACAAGGTCCTCAAGTGGGGCACCACTCCACCTGAGCCAGGAGCACCACAATCGGTTTCCCTTTCGGGAGTGGGAGCTGCTCTTGAGCACTTCCCTGGGTGGCCCCTCCGGCACCTCCCAAGCCCATGCTCACTCCCACCCAAGGCCCCTCGGCCCCAGTCTCAACCTCAAGTCGGTTTGGAAGCCCCACTGGAGAGTTCCTTCAAGACTGGTTCCTAGACCTCACTATCCTTACTATACTTTTGGAAACCCCTGCAGCCCCCCCCCCCCCCCCCCCCCCCCCCCTTGGGAGACACATGCTTTGGGCTTTCACCCCTTGAGCTGTATTAGTATTTGGACTTAGTCTCAGAATCGATCTCGGACTCGATCTCGGACCCGACTTTGGACTCGGTCTCGGACTCGATTTCGGACTCAATCTCGGACCCGATCTCGGACTCGACTTCGGACTCGACCTCGGACTCGGTCTCGGACCTGATTTGGATCTCGGACTCTGTCTCAAACTCGGTCTCGAACTCGGTCTCCGATTTGGCCTTGGCTCGATCCCGGACTCTATCTCGAACTCAGTCTCTGAGTCAGTCTTGGACTCGATCTTCGACTCGGTCCCATCCGATGAATTCTTTGTCATTTCGGTCATGCTTTCGGGGATCCTTTAGCCTACGACATCTGGGGGAGTCGGTTCCTTACAATGTTGTGGATCAATTCATCATTCAAGTCTTAGAGATTGATGTAGAGAAGGTTGATCCAGTTAATATTCTTGCTCAAAGATTGGTGAAAACACACCGGAAGACAACTAGGGAGTTGTTAGTTTAGTGAAATGGTTATTCCATGGACGAAGCTACATGGGAAACTAAGGATGACATGAAAAGAGTGTTTCTGAGTTTTGGTTATAACTTGGATGATATTCCTGAGGAAGGGGAGAATTAAGTTCTATAACAAAGAAACTTGTGTGCCTAAAATATTCATGTATATTCTAGGATATTCTTCAATCTGATTTTGCATGGAATATACATACAAAAATATTCAAGTGGTATTTCCACTACTAATGGGTCTCTTTTGTTTCCATGATCGTATTGTCATGCGTGAAAGCCATATTACTTTTTTCTTTCATGGCCATTTGTTGCGATGTTAGTGTTGCATATCTTTTCTCCATGGCCATATTGCCTTGGACTCCTTTCATATGAAGTTTTTTTAGCTTCTCAAGGCTGCTGTATGTGGCTAGGTCATTAAGGAGGGGAGAATGACACAAACCATAAGAATATTCTGAGAATATTCTATGGCCTATGGGATTTAAAGCTGTAACGCCTTAAAGGTTGGGAGGTTTCGCTCTCTTGTTTGTTTCAGAAGATATTAGCTGTTTCGTGTCAATGGCATTGCCTCTAGAAAAGGAAAGCACTCACCATGCCTCTGAGAATAACTGTAATCTATTCATTTAATTTTCAGCTAGAACATTCAGAGATCACAGACCTTATCGTCTCTTCTTGCTGCGCTCTTTGGAAGGTTTGGTTGCCTCCTCTTCAGCATTGTGGTCGGCTTCAAGTCTAGTGAGCTGCAAATTAAACAATACTGTTGTGAGGATTCCTTCTTGAGACACCACTTTACCTTGTCAAGGATGGGTTTAAGTTCTCTGTAGCATGTCTTTGCCAATTCAAATCCATCCTTCCTGAGCTCCTGATAGATGCAAAGAGCATGAAAAACGAGTGAAAGAAAACCTGCACGTCACCTTTCTAGTGTGTTCGGTGTGATTGTAACGTGCCATTTGCCAATACATGATCGTCCGAGAGAAAAAATCTCTCAACGTTTCCCCAGGCTGAAAGACAAATCAATCACAAAACAGGAAGATGAACTACTATCATCACTCGCCAAAGGTGTTTGTTGAGAATCAGCCAGGTCCAGCTCAACCTGCATTTGATTGATCTTTGATCATTTGATCGTCAGCCTCTTGTCAAGTTTTGTTACATCCTAGAATACGAAAGGAAACATACAAGTTTTGTTACATCCTTCTTTTTTACTACCTTGCCATCATCCTCTTTGTCTGTTCCTTTACTAATAGATCCAGCATCACTGTTGTCATTATCAATTTCGCCATCCTCCTCACTAGCTTTAATCCACTCGTTTTGTGTTTCCTGCTTGAAATATTAGTACTAGTCTGGATGATAGCTAGATCATAAAAACACTAACTTTAATAATGCACCTCCATGCATTGAGTTTATTCAGGTCCAGCGAGAAAAGGTTGTTGAGTGTCACTTCTTTTTCACCAACTTCTTTCATACATCCATACAGAAACGAAGTATCCTTTCCACTAACCATTCCAGCATTGATTCTTCCACAAGGCAACAGCCTTCAAGCAGAACGCTCAACGTGCAGACGCATTTTCCACACTTGGATCGACCACTTTCTTCTGCTTTGGATGCACGCTTAACCACCACACAATCTCAGATTGCCATACCTTATACATTCTGTGCAGCGAATCACCTGCAAAAGACATTAGTTTTTTCAATGCATGCATTCAAAAGTAATCAACTACACCACCAAACAAGATGGCTCATCTCTTGTGGACAAAAATCCTGCTCTTGGCCCAGGAGCCATACCGCATTTTTTTCACCTTCACAAAACACAGCAAAAAACTAAAACTCCAAACGAGAATGTAAAAGAAGCAAACCTTGTCCCACTCCCAATCCGTGGATCTAACATCCACATATCTGCGAGCCCTACACCTTTGTCGGATTGATCTTTGTCAGAGGCAGGCTCTTTGAAATAGCCACCGTACAAGAAAATCTGGAAAAGAAAAATGTTCACAACGCGCAAAACAATACTTTTAGTTCATCTAAATAAACAGCAAGCTGAAAACCAGTTCTAGCTGAAGGCCAGGCAGCTCCAAGCTTGGGTTTTATCTCTTGCCACTGCAAAAGGAAATCAGTTTAGTTGCTAAAAAACAAGGAAGAACGATGAGGGACAGAAACAAACCTTACAATCGTCTAAATCCAGCACTTAAAGATCATTGAAGTACCTGTGTCAAAAATTCATTACACTGCTGAAACAGCCGACCTTTCTTCCCTCAGCGTCAAATGGAATCATTTTATGTTTGTTTATGGTCTTGTCCTTTCCCTTTAATTCCTAAATTACTCTTGCATTACAGCTGTGGCAAGGTTCACTTTTAGAAGTTTAGTCGTGCTCTCTCTGCTCCTCCTGAGCTCCGCCACTCAAGTCCGACTTTGGTGCTTGAAGCTTAGGTCCTCGGCAGCTTTCTCGGCGTCCTCACGCGTGGTGTAAGTGATGAAGGCGCAGGCCCTCTGCGGGACGAGCCGGAGCGATTCGATCTTTCCATACGAGTAAAAGTTGTCTTTGAGATCCTCGGTGGTGACTCTCTCGTCGAGGCCACCAACGTAGAGCGTCCTCACGGTGGCATCGTCGGGAGGAGTGAGCGTCGACATCTCCTCGGCCTTTTTCAGGAGCTTTGCAGCAACGGGATCATTCAACCTGCAAAGAAAAGAACTCTCAAAGTGAGAAGAAACGCGAAGAGAACACAACTTACCCATAGTGTGAGAGCCTCTTTGGCATCCACCGCGGACAAAGAAGCTGCAAACGTGTGCTCGGTTGCGCTTGTAGTATGGGCTCGTCCTCTGGAGCTTGAGGATCATGTCATTCGGCCGGACTTTACCAAAGGACGACTCCTGATCCACCTAACAAACAATGTGAGCTCCACGGTGGCGCTTACCATGCGAACATAGGGATTATCCCCCGGGCACGTCTCGCAGATGATCGGGAAGTCCGCCATAGCTCAACCCTAGCCCTAAAATTCGTGGATATGATTTTAGGGCTCTAGCAAAATTATCCGATGTTGTCCAAGCAATAAGCTCATGGTGAGGCCACCACTTCTCGAGAGAAGAATCTCAGCTCTCACAAGGCGACAAGCCACAGAGAATTTTGGGAGTCTAGTGTTGAGTTCTCAGTTTACTGTCGCCGCCGCCAGCCCGATGTCAGTATCTTGAGATTGCTGCTCACTGCCAGTTCGTGACTCGGCTTGCTGTATGCGTGCGCAAACATTTCGAATCACGATGGAGGAAGGTTAAAAGGATCCCGAGAGCTGTTGTCAAAGTAGCTCCAACCAGGTATGTGGTGCAGCCCATGGTCGATCCTATGATAGGGATGCCACAGTCTCAGTCGAGCGATTCAGGTATCACTACATAGCTCAAAGGAACACGACAGGACAAGACATATCGACCACCAGGTTTGACACATGCACGTTTCATGCGTCCGTTTCGTATTTCAAAGAGAGGGGCTTGACGTGTGCAATGGCTATGTTTCCTGGTGACTTCTTTCTCAGGTTTCTTTTCTCCTGGTACCATTTTCGTTGATGTTGTCACGAGCTTGATGGTCTGCGGAAGATAGAAACCATTGCCATCAACAAAGAAGCAGCAAGAAGCAGGATTGTGAACATTATTATTAAACCAAATAATAATGATGTTTAAAGCTGATTAAACTATGGCAACAAATATGTACATGGGTGTATTATATATTTACATATGTGTGAATATAGTTTTTTACTAGTTCTATAAAAATTATTATACATTATGGTTGTTATAAAAGTAAATGAGTGTGTGTATAATATTTTTGTCATGGGATATATTATATATGATGACATTTCAGACTGCCACACAAGACTGATACCATATTATATCATCACTGTAAATCTAACAAGAGTTTTTTTTTATCTTATTCTTGTATCATTGATTGCAGATTTATAAGTTCTTAATTTGTATAAACCACAAATCCTTAAGTTAACCCAAAGATATGCTATGTGGCAATGGCCAAGGCAAAAGTCTTACAAATATAATATATTTGTGACCAAAAGTGCCAACTTGAAAAGTCGAGAGCAAGTTAGAACTCCTAAAGAAGCACTTGATTAATATATAACAAATGTCATAATATATGGAAATTTAAGTGTTGAGATTAAAGTTCTAAAACCCAAAGACTTGAAGTGCAATGATATCAAAACCATCTCACCCCATTTCTTCAAATGTTCAAAGTGTCAAACATATCTATGGTTTAATATATTTTGGGCTAAATATATCCAAGGAACCTCTGCTTTCATGTAAAATTTTATCCTTTTATAACTATTCAGTACCAATTTGTATTTTATGTGTTTTTTTTCCTAGTTTATTGCATTTTCATCCTCCTTGTTTTACTTTTTTATGTAGGATTCAGTCCCAATTGACGTATTGCATGGCTTTTTAATGTTTATTTGCTTTCTTATATGTTTTTTTTTTTTTGTGAATGCAGTTTTTTTAAAGACTCCACAGGGTAGGGAGAGAAACCTCTCTTGTGATTTTGATAAAAGAGTTACTCACCTGTGGTCATGGGGACGCCAGTCGGGGTGGACGGATTTCATTAGAGCTGCAGCACCCGAGACGTGAGGGCGCGACATGGAAGTTCCGGAATCGATGTTGTAGCTCGAGAACTTCCAGATCAACGTCGACAGGGAGCCCATGGTGGCAGTGTCCGGGTTTAACTTGCAGAACATCGGAGTCTCCTAGGGTTGCCAAGGCCGTGTTTGGCTCGAATCAGCTGTCATCGAGAGGACATTCCAATGCTCTCGTGAAAAGGCTCCAGGAGCTCGTGAAGAGAACAATGGATTTTATCTTTTGATTAATAACTTCAAAGATAGTGTTTGCATCATTCTCACTAGTTTCTCTCTTGCTCCAAGACGCTGGCGAGTAGGAGGTTTGGGGCCGCCACCCTCGAACCCAGTCCCATCACTTCACTCGCGCCAAAGGCAGCATTCTTGAGATCACGTGCTTCTCGACAAGCGCCCAGAAAGCTCGTCCAATTGGCATAATCTGCTGTCCAAGGCATGGCGGCAATCAAGTCCCGAGCTTCTTCCAGGTATCCGGACCGGCCCAGAAGATCAATGAGACAGCCATAGTGCTTCCTTGTCGCTGCCAGGCCATGATCAAAGGCCATGGATGTGAAGTAGCTCCGGCCATCGTAAACTTTTCCCTGGTGGCTACACGCAAGCAGCATCGCCACGAAGCACGTCTCGTTCGGGGGCTCCATTGTCTTCATCCTGTGAAACATCTCGATCGCAAAGGGGGAATTCCCACACTGGACGGATCCCACTAGCAAGCACGTCCATGCGATGGAATCCCTCACGGGCATTCGATCGAAGAGATCCACAGCGCTGTATATCTGCCCATTTTGCGCGAATGCAATCAACATTGCCGTCCAGGACACCAGTGACCTGTGAGGAATCGCATCAAACACTCCCTTGCATTGCTCAAGATGCCCATTTTGGGCATATGCCGCGAGCATCGACGTCCACGTAAACGCATTTGATTGAGGCATTTGGTCGAGCATCTTCTCTGATTCTTCTAGATGCCCGTGCTGGGCATATGCCGATAGCATTGCGTTCCAGGCCACGAGATTCCACTGGGGCATGGAATCGAAGACGTAGCGTGCTTCTTCAAGATTCCCATTTGCGGCATATACCGTTACCATTGACGTCCACGTAATAAGATTCCTCTCCTCCATTCTCTCGAAGAGTTTTTGTGCTTGTAGGACTTGCCCGGTCTGGGCATACCCCGCCAGCATGGCATTACACATGGCAAGATCTGGCTCGTCAATCAAATCAAACATCTCCACCGCCTTGCCGACGTGACCATTCTGGGCATATGCAGCCAGCAGCGACGTCCAAGAGAAGAGGTCAACGCGTGGCAAAGAGTCAAACAGCTTGACCGCATCTGTGAGATTCCCTTGCTGCCCGAGCGTCGCCACAAGGGAGCTCACACACCCAATGCCGTACACTGGCATCTTGTGGAGTATGGCCAATGCTCTATCCGTATGACCGTGCTGGGCATATGCCACGAGCATCGTGCCCATGGACACCACGTTTTGCTGGGGCATCTCGTCGTATATTTTCTTGGTTGTCTCTAGATCGTCGTGCTGGGCAAATGCCGAGAGGACAACGTTCCACGACACGAGATTTCTCTCTGGCATCGCGTGGAAGATCTCGCGAACTCGATCGAGCTCAAGACTGTGCACATAAGCTGTGACCAAAGTGTTCCAAGAGACAATCGTTCGTTCCGGCATTTGATCGAAGAACTCTTTGGCTTTTGGATGATCGCCGAGCTGGGCAAATGCGGCAAGCATAGAGTTCCAGCAACCGACGTCTCTCTCTGGCATCTCGCTAAACACTCTGGAAGATTCGCTAAGATCGGAATTGTGGGAATATGCAGCTAGCATGGCACTCCACGCGAGAAGGTCGTGGAATGGCATCTCGTCAAAGGTTTGCTTTGCGTGATCGACATGCCCTTTTTGGGCATATCCTGCAAGCAGCGAAGTCCACGATATCAAGTCCCTGCCGGGCATCTCATCAAAGAGTTTCTTGACTTCGTCCACGTCGCCGCACTGGCTGTATACCGCCAGCAGCGTGTTCCACGACACGAGGCTCCGCTGCGGCATGCCGTCGAAGAGCTGTTTAGCGTCGCCCAAGAGCCCATTACGGGCATATGCCGAGAGCATCGCATTCCAGGAGATAAGATCGCGCTGTGGAATCCTGGCAAAGAGCCGGCGAGCTTCGTCGATTTGGCCATTGCGAGCGAGCGCACAGAGCTTGGAAGTCCAGGAAACTGTATCGGCATGCGTCATGAACCAAAAGAAGGATCACATCCCGCGCTGCCCAATATGAGTACTGGAACGAGCTCTGGCAATGCCAAGGTGGTAGAAGTCATCAACCATAGATTGCGAGGAATTAAAAGGAGATTTCTTACAAAGGTTCCTTTTCCCTTTCCTTGTTCCACCTCTCGATTTTGGCCAGCCTTTCACGATCGCTCTCTCGTCGCCAGGGCGGGCTTCTCCTCGTATGGCGCTCCCCATCACGTCTGTAATCCCGCTCCCCATCCTCCTCCCTCGGGCGACGTTTGTGATCCCGCTCCCCATCCTCCTCCCTCGGGCGACGTCTGTGATCCCGCCTTGGTGGCGATGACGATCGATCGCCCATCAGCTCCCTCATCAGAGCTCTGCTAGGACGATACAAGTGCAAGAAGTTGCAGCATCCGCCCCGGCTGCACCCTCCTTGCTCCTCCTGCCGGCAAGACGCCTCGCGAAAATCCGTCACAGGGGAGAACTCGGCCGCGATCGGGCGCCCGGAGTAGAACCTCCCATTCAGCGCTGCCATAGCTGCGACTGCATGCTCCTCGTGCCGAAACTGGACGTAAACATTCCCGGCCAGATGGTTGCCGAAGTTGTTGCAGATCTTGAGCGCCTCCACCTTGCCGTGCTTGCTCACCTCCTTAAACACGTCCTCGTAGAACGCATCCAAGTCCTTTTGGAGCTCTTCCTTGGAAATGGCAGTGTTTCTGTATGCCTGACCGGGGGTGATCTCCGGGCTTTGATACATGTTGAGCAGCAAAGTGCAGCTCTGCTTAGGTTTTACGTGCGCTCTCGAGCATCGGTCCCCGTGTCGACAGGCGCCCATCTTGAGGTAGAAAGGGCAGTTCACTCGGTCTTGTTCGGTGCCAAAGATGTCAGCCAGGTGCTGCGCGCCACCTCCCATAACGTTCCTCAAGAACCCTAGCCGAGACCTCTCGTATATATACACGGGTTGTCAAAAGGGTTGTCAAAAAGGTGGCCAAATGCCGTTACTGGGCATTCGTGATGCTTGCTTGCCCTAATTCTCGACCCAAATCTCCCGCCAGGTTTTAGGGTTCTTATGCTAGGTTTTGGGGGTCAATGGGGCACGAGATCCATCCCGCGAGCTCGCCGGCTCACAGGCGATTGCAGAGTCCATCGTCGCCCTTCTCGGCGCCGCGGAGGGCCGCATTGTCGACGCGCGAGGAGCCGGATCTAAGCTGGAGGGCGCTCGTCTATCGGCACCAGTTTCTACTGCTCATGCTGGGAGTACTCTTGTTTCTGTGCACTGTCTACTTGTATTTCGCTATAACGCTGGGGACGGGTAATTCGTGCGCGGGGCTCACAGGAGTCCAGAAGGAGATTTGCAGCCTCTCCTCCAAGGACAAGACGAGGCGCGTGGGCGCGAGAGCACTCCTGGTGAGTGATCGCAGCATTGCTTATTGTCTTGCTGGGATTTTTACTCGAGAATGTGTGTTCCCTCTAGACAGATTTAAATGCTGGGGAGCTCTGGAGAAAAGAATTAAACCTTGGTCTGTGCACTGACGCTGAAGGAGCTGATGGTTTCTCGTGCAAGGTAAGCAAAGAGATGGATGGAATGGAAGCGTGCATTTTAGATCTGACTGGTTGCTTATATTTCTTTAGAAACTTAAAACAGGAACACAAGCTTCCTTGGAAGCAAATAGTGGCCTGTTCGATCTGGTTTTCCTAGAGCTTCATAGCTCTCGAAACGGTACGTACGCGTCTTAAACTTGAAAACCTTTGATTTTACGTTTTTTTTTCCACAGATCACAAGTGTGCTGTGGGGATCTCAAAACTGGTCAGAAAGGGTGGAGTTTTAGTGGCATCTATCGACATCTCGGAGTTCATGCAAAAACTTAACTGGTCTTTTGTCGGAAGGTTGTCTTCGAGTGTCTCATTTTATGTGCTCTTCTGATAGTTTTTGCTTTTCCTTTTGCAGAAACCGTGACCAGGGCCAGATCTGGCGGGCTCCTCAATAACACGCGGATTTGTCTTTTGGTAGGTAATCTATGCTGTATTTTTTATCGCAGGCTTAATCACCTAATATCGAAATGAAAAGTATCGTGGATCAAACTTTCCAAGTCTACCAAGAGTACTGATCGGGTTTTATTATGTCTGCAAAGAGGCAGGAAACTGTGATGATCGAGACGATTGCTTCCCTTCGAAGACCTGTAAGACTTGAGTTTCTTTTGGAAGTTCTTAACTCTTTCTTTTGCCTGTGTTTCCTCTCAGGAACGCGCTTGCACTGTCAAAGTGAACTTGCTGCAAACATCATTTCGAAGATGCTGACTTTGATTGATCCCGTTATGGCGATTCCAGAACAGCAAACCAAAGGTAATCATCTGGGGTTCTTTCGATTAATTTGAGCAGGGCGTCAGACCGTTTTGCAGGATAGTGAGCTTTTAAAATGGATGTCGCCATTTGCTTGTAGGTGGGCGATGTCCGGATCGAAGGACATATCCAATCGACACATTCAAAGTTTCAATAGCGAGGTATCAACCAGCGCTGCTTGATAGTCTACTGATATATATACTGATAATCTACTTGATTCCAGAGATGAGATTTTCAACCCTGGTGTGTGGCGTGCTCAGAAGATTCTCCACATTTCGTTTGGGGTTGTGGGAAGAACGCGCCTTTGAGCTTAATTTTTGCGTACTAAGCTTGCAGGGACCAAACCATCATCATCCTTTCTAGAGATTGACGAAGACCAGCAAAAATTAAACCAAGCTAGCAAGCAAATCTATGGACGGATGCGATGGGCCGGAAAGCAACACTGCCATCGCAATCCCACCGTACGATTTGGACGACCCGGGCCTCGTGACTGCCGACAGTGGGGTGCTGGTGGTCGATTCCCGTCCCGAGAAAGGCATCGTTTTTGGCATATACCTCGTGGGGACCAAAGCGTATCAGATATTTTGCGTGCTTTTCCAAGCCATGGACTTGGCTGCGCGTACGAACGGACAGCCCAGTACGGTCGGGCCGGCATTATTTTACTGTGGTAAATGTCAAAATCGAGGAGTGAAGGAGCTGTCAGGAAATTGTTTTTCACCGCCTCTCTTCTGTGGGTTTAAACGGGAGACTAGGTCTTTCTCGGGGGTTTAGCTAGGCATTTTCTCTCGTTTGATCAGACCGATCGATCGAGCGATCTCTTTCGGTTAGGCCGGATGCCGCCAGGAATCGGAGCGTATCATCGGGTACTAGTGATGCGTTTGACAGCAGCAGCGGTAGTGCGGCGGCATCCATCGCGAGATTTCGGCTACATTCGAGCGTTTCTTCACAAGATTTCTTGAGGCAAGTGTGTGAGAGCGAGTTCTTTCCCGTGGAGGGAGAATCCATCCCTGCATTCACAGAAATCGAGGCAGAGGGCGAGTATTTCCCAAGACTGCTAGCATCGAGAGAATGCTGCTACTGGGAAGAACGATCAGATAGGGCGGACAGGCATGATCATCGTCTTTCTCGTAGAAGGAAGAGAGGCAGTGTAGTCTAAGCTCCGAGGAAGGCATGGGCTGCGCAGCATCGAAAGTGAGCAAGGCGGAGGATGTGAGTAGATGTCGCGCGAGACGAAGGCTCATGAAGCAGACAGTGGCGTCAAGGCATCACTTTGCGGCAACTCACGCGGCTTACATCCAAGCCATGAAGAACGTAGGGGCGGCTTTCCGGCAATTTGGAGAGACCGAGCTTCGTGATGCTCAAGCAGCAGCCGCCGAGCGTACAAAATCGAGCTCCCTTCAGTCACCCGATCGGCCACTTCCTCCACCTCCGCCGCCAGTGTTCCTCCAAGACTCTCCTCGCATGGAGTTCCTTTCTCCTCCCGCATCTCCCATCAAGACGGAAGATCACGAGAGCGAGGAAGCCAAGGATCAGGAGCGCCGCCAACGCAAGAGAGAACAGGAGCAGCACCAAAGTCGGTTCCAAAAGTTGGAGCAAGAGCACGAGGGCTTCTACTATCACCGTGGTGGAGACGATGACAAAGATGACAAGGGAGCGTACTACTTTACTGCTCCACCGCCTCCTCCAGTTCCCTCGAGCACAGCTCCGCCTCCACCGTCGCCTCCAAGAGACTCGGCCTGGGAGTTTCTGGATCCGTTCAGGCCGCAAGAGCACCCGGTTCTTCTTCACGACCAACGCACCTCGAAAAAGGTGGAGGTTTCTAAGCAGGACCGCGAGAGAATGGAAGATCACCACCACCACCACCACCACGATGATGATGATGACGATGAGGACGACGATGACGAGCACGAAGTGTCCAGCAACCCGGACAAGCCGGTGGTTGTCAAGAACCCCAGCGTCATTGGTTCCAGCAAGCGAGACTTGGCGATTATTCTGCTCCCGAGTGGCGGGATTGGACGCAAGGACCTTCTCGACGTTGTCAAGGAGGTTGATGAGTTGTTCCTTCGTGCTTACGAGTGTGGGAAGGACGTTTCCAAGCTTCTGGAGGCGAGAAAGGTTCACTACCACTCTAATTTCGTCGACTCAAGAGGTAACGCTTTCTACCATTTGCTTTATAATTAAGTTCCAAAACTTCTTGCAGGATATGAATCGCACTCGAAGAGAGTGTTGCAAGCAATTTCTTTAGGCCACAGAGGTTCGAGCAAAACCCCTTTGAAGGTAGTTGCTTCCGAGGATCACCTAAGCAGCCCCGAGGACTCTGGTAAAGCTGGAAGTCATGCCGGTACTCTGGACAGCTTGTTGGCCTGGGAGAAGAAACTGTACGAAGAAGTTAAGGTGATGTCTCGTGCTTCCTAGTGTTATGTTTAAATGTGTTATGGCAGAATACAGAAGTGATACGAGCTGAGTACCGGAAAAAATGTTCCCCCAAGCTCCAGGAAGAAATGAGCGACACAACCAGGTCCATGATCAAGACCTTGTCCACGAAAATTCAGGTGTCGCTGCAGGGTGTGGACACGGCAATCTCTGCCATCAACAAGCTCAAGGAAGACGAGCTTCATACACAACTTGTTCAACTTATTGAAGGGTATGTACGAGGTTTTGGATTTCTGTCAATCACTGATTTTCTTAGAACAGGCTAATGAACATGTGGAACGAGCTTTACGATTGTCACCAGAGACAACACAAGATCGCATCGGACATGAAATCCTTAGACCACTGGGGGACTGTGGAGCCGACGACTAACATCCACAGAGTAGCAACTTCTCAGCTCGAACTAGCGCTCGGTGCGTGGCTCGCAGGATTCAACAAGCTCATCTCCGCGCAGCGGGATTACCTCCACAACCTGACGGGCTGGCTTCGACTTAGCAACATGCAGCTCGAGTTGGAATCCGCCAGAGAAACTCCAGGCAGCAAGAAGAAGCAAGCCACGGCAAGGCCGGCGTGGCTGGCGTCCATGCTCCAGCTCTGCCTGGACTGGAGCTTGGCGCTGGACAGACTGCCAGACAAGGTAGCCTCGGAGTCGATCAAGAGCTTCGAGGCCGTGGTTCACAAGCTGGTGGATCTCCAGAACGAGGAAGTGAAGCACAGGAAGAAGCTGGATGCTGTCTCCAAGGAATTCGACAAGAAGATGGCACGCTTGTCAGCGAGTACGAAGCATCGCAAAGCGAGCCGGGAAGAGCAGCAGCAGCAAGCGACTGACACTCGAAAGGAGAAAGATCCAGACAAAGAGAAGGCGGCGGCGGAGAACGATCCTCCTGGATCAGCTGAAGCGACCAACGAAGATAGCAATCTGGTGGAGTCCATCCCGAGCATCCTGCGAGCAGCAGCTAATCGAGGCAGTGGCAAATCGAGGCGGCGGGGCTCTCCCGAGGAGAGGATGCGTCAGGCTGTGAATTCGATCCAGGCAAAGCTCGAGGAAGAGAAGGAGCGAGTGGCAAAGGTTGTGTTTGACACGAGGGCGACGACCATCAACAGCTTACACACGGGATTGCCGAGCATCTTTCAGGCGGTGGCAGGATTCGGTCGCATCTCCCTCCATGCGTATCAGAGCCTCTACTGCCAGGCACACAATGGCGCTCTCCTCCGGATCACTCAAGCCTAGGGACGATGACAAGTGTGCCCTAGCGCTAAATAGGGCAAAGGTAGTACTGCCACGTGTATGCAGTACTCATTGCCACGTGTATGTAGTTAATATTCTAGTTAATGAATCGCATTTCCCGCGGTGAATTTCAAATTTTCTTGAGCCCCACCTGTGCGCGGGGCCTTGAGATCCGGGCAGGGCGGAAGAACCCTAATCGTGCGACACGAATCGAGCGAGGGAGAAAGAGGAGGGGAGAAATTCCTTTCCCATATCTTGCCTCGCGGAGGAGAGATTTGATTAGATTGAGGAGCCGCCCGTTGCGTGTTGGGTGCGCGCGGATTGATGTGCCCGCATTTAATTAATCCGGTCGCGCAAGGAAGGGAGAATTTCCCGTTTGTGGGCTTTTGCATCGCGGTGCGCTGCCCGATCTTCGTTTTTTGGCGCTGCCTGGCCGCGCCGCTGACAGCCACTATTCCTTTCTTTCTTCGCTGGTCTCTCTCTCGTGTTCTGGGGATTTCTATTTCTTGTCTCCATCCAAAGCAGGCACAAGGTCTCGCTTTCGAGGTCACGATCGTTGTTTTGGAGTGGAGATCACATCGATAGATAGATAGCTCCCCCTTCGTTTTTTTTAATCGCGCTCTTGTTCGTGTTCTTCCGGTGATCGATCGATGGAAATATCGTGATCCTTGGTCCTCTTCTCCTGGTTCTTGATCGGCTACTCGCTCTTTCTTGTTCGGTCGATCGAAATATCGTTTTCCAGCTCTCGAAATACTCTCTAGCTCACCGAGCTATCGAACGATCCATCCATCGAAAGATGGGATGCACGAGCTCCAAGGTCGACAACGAAGAGAAGGTCGCGCGATGCAAGGCCAGGAAGCGATTCATGAAGCACGCGGTGGCATCGCGGCATCAATTCGCGGCCAGTCATGCCGCGTACGTGCAAGCGCTCAAGAACGTAGGAGCGGCATTCCGGCAGTTTGGCGAGACCGAGATCCCCGACACGACCTCATCGTCTTCCACCGATCACGACTACAATCCATCGTCTCCAACGACGCCGGACGCTAAGCCGCCGCCTCGCCCTCTCTTCCTTCCACCGCCATCGCCCAACGATCGCCACGGCCTCAAGCTCGATCCCGCCAGTGTGATTCTCGAGGAAGAGGAGCTCTCGCCGGATCTCAGCCCCGAGAAGAAGAAGGATCATCGCGTCAAGAACAAGAAGAGCAGCGGCGGTAGAGAGGTTCTTCCACCGCCATTGCCACTTGGTAGCGCTCCACCGCCGCCGCCTCCTCCCAAATCTTCGGCATGGGGCTTTCTCGATCCATTCCAGGAGGACGAAGCCACCGCGGCCGTGGCTGTGGCGGCTGAGACCTTCACTGTGTCTTCCAAGAGCACCAGTGGCCGCGCTCGCGCGAAGCTGTGGTTTCCAGCGGCGGAGAAGGATCTGGAGCAGCGGTCCAGCGATAACAGCCTGGCGATCATCGTGAGGCGATCGGGAAGCAAGGAGCTTGTGGATGTTCTTCGCGAGCTGGACGAGCTTTTCCTCCGGGGCTACCAGAGCGGCAAAGAGGTAGGGAAGCTGCTCGAGGCGAGGAAGATCCACTACCACTCCAATTTCGTGGAGAATCGAGGTAGGATGCTCGTTGTTCCTGGGGCTAGATTTTCTGTTCTCATCGATCGCTACGCGCAGGGTTTGATTCTCACTCCAGCAAGGTTCTCAATGCGATCTCTTGGTCCAACTGGAAGTCGCCGCTCAAGCGCAAAACGGAGGAGACGGCGCTCGCAGTGACCGACGAGGATTTTGGAGCTCACTCGGGCACTCTGGATCGGCTGCTTGTCTGGGAGAAGAAGCTCTACGAAGAAATGCGAGTAAGTTTTTTTCTTCTTGGTTTTGGAAGCTCTTTTGATCGATCGATCGATGGGTTGCCACAGACTGCCGAGGCGAATCGAATCGAGTATGAGAAGAAGTGCGCCCAGCTCCGGCACCAGGACTCCAAGGGCGACTACAACGAGTCCATCGACAAGACGCGCAACATGATCAAGATGCTCCAGACGAGGATCGTGGTGGCGCTTCAGGGAGTGGACACTGCCGTGGCGGCCATCATCAAGATCCGCGACGAGGAGCTCTATCCCCAGCTCCTGGAGCTGGAAGAAGGGTATGCCACGCGTGTTCTAGGCTCATTGACGATTGGTCATTTCAGGTTGACTGGAATGTGGGCGGAGCTCTACGCCGTCCACGAGAAGCAGTATGCGGCGGTGAGCCGGATGAGGCCTCTGGATTGTCTCTTGGGCTCGGTGGAGGCGACGAGCAACATCCATCGCTTGGCAACCTCGCAGCTCGAGGCATCGCTAGACAATTGGTACAGCTGCTTGAACAAGCTCATCACCAGCCAGAGGGACTACATGAGGAACCTGTGCGGCTGGGTGCGGCTCTGCGTGATGCCGTTCGAGGACATCAAGGATTCTCCAACTCTGTCGGCTGGATCATCGACTCCTCCAATCCACGACGTCTGTCTCGAGTGGCACCAGGCTCTGGATCGCCTCCCGGACAAGGTGGCCTTGGAGGCCATCAAGAGCTTCGTGGCGGTGATCCACAAGATCGTGGAGCTGCAGAACACGGAGCTCCAGCACCGGAAGAAGGTGGAGTCACTCACCAAGGAGATCGACAAGAAGGTGGCCTACATCCAGAACTACGAGAAGAAACACCCCGACTCGGCCTCCACTACCACTGCCACGGCCTCGGATCATCACCACCATAGCAATCACCTGGACGAGACCGACGAGCTCACGGTTCTCCACGACATTCTTCCGCCAAAGAGCCCGCTTGCCGATAGGAGAGCCGCGGTGGATTTGCTCCGGAGGAAGCTGGAAGAGGAGAAGGAGCAAGTTTCCAAGGCGGTGTATGATACCCGAGCTATGACACTGAATAGCCTCCACACCGGACTCCCCAGCGTGTTCCAGTCGGTGGCCGGCTTTGCGAGCGTTTGCTCCCAGGCCTTCCAGTTGCTTTACCACAACGCTCGCGTCAACAAGGAGGAAGCTAGTAGCTATTCGCCATGATCTAGAGGAGGAAGCTCGTAGGTATTCGCCATGATCTAGAGGAGGATACTCGCAGCTATTCGCCAGAGCTCGGGGAGGAGGAGATTTTGCGGCAATCTATTTCACTAGCTATGCTTTCTACTTGTATATATGTTGGTGCTCTACGCCATTTTGAATTTAAAGGACTGTTATGAGTATATGCTCTTGAATTCCCGCTTTATTTATCTAGGGTTTTTAGCGTTTTTGTCCAGGAAATCTGCTTTTGATCGTTGGTCCGCCAGATTCTAGTAAGTGAGAGAGTTCGCAAGGAGGCAGCAGGCATATCCCCTCTCCATCAACATGCGCGAAGGGAAGTTCAACACTGCCGCTAGTTTTGCTGCGAAGCTCAAGTCTAGGTCGTCTGGATTTGTAGAGGTGGTCGTCAAGGCGGTCTCTATCCCACCATTAGGGGATCCTGTGACTGATGGCAGGGTAGCAGCCACAGCAGCAGCTGAACAGGGTTGATCGATCGGATATAATGGCCCTCCTTGGAGGTCTGAGAGGTCCCTTTGAGAATTGGATAACGTTTGGCAGGGAGCTTTTGCGGAAGCCAGGGCTTCCTTCAATCATCATTGACGAGGCTAATAGGCTGCGGAGCAGATGGACCTCGCAACGCTATTTCATCGTGTTGACCAAGGAGGCTAACATAGCCAACGTGATTCTGCCAGAAAGTGTTTGTGAGATCATGTGATGTGTCTACGATGACAGGAGGAAACATCATTTCATGAGATTGCAGCTGCGTATGATCCTGCAACACTGCCTCGGAGGTGCACCTCTTTGGACAGCAGGTTGTTACCTAGCCGTGTGAAGGTGGTGTGGTGAGTGAAGATGAGCTTCTTTATGGACACGTTCTCAGCAAGGAGGCACTCTATAGCCTCATCCAGCATAAGTTTCTTCACTTCAGGGACATGAGACTCTCGGCCAAGGACCTTTTGTGGTACAAAGGGCATTGGCCTGTTGTCATGCCGCTTTCCAAGCCACACTACCATGCGAGTTCTTGCGCATTAAGACAGGCGAAATGGAGGAGTCTACAGGGCTGTTCGAAGAATTTGAGGGCTTGCTAAAATTGATGCTTTGTGCAGCAATGCTATGATTTGCTTTGGTTTTCTTATGAAAACATTTTATGTTTTTTTATGTGTTCTACTTTTTTTCAATTTATATATCCATATACAAATTTTCTTGTTATTTTCTTATTTGTAATAGTTTTTCCATGAGCTCTTTTAATCTTTTATCATATTAAAGTTTCTTATTATTATAATGTTAGATTTTGATAGCCATTGCATTGGTTTCAATCTAGACCACTTGCTTCTGTAGATAAACTAGGTTTTGGGTTAATTGAATATACATTTTTTTTTCTTTTCTAAATAATATACTCTTCCTTTGTGGTAGCCTTTTCCTCCTCTTTTCAATATTCCCAAATTTCCTATATATCTTCAAGGGATAACATTGAGCACATTAAATTTGGACTTTCAATGTTCTTAAATTTCCCATATGTTTTTGAAGGATAATATTGAGCACAATGTAATCTCTTAAATTTAGACTTTTCAGGCCAGTACTATTCAAACCTAAAGATGTTTAACCCTAAGTATCCCAAAATTTTTAACGAATTGGAAAAAAGGATGCACTTTTATTTATGGGCCCTTTCCCTCTATATTTAAACTTTATACATCATCTTTTGAGTCATTTTCTTTGGTTGCTTACAATCCATTATACTTCTTTACAAGTTCACACCCTCGTAAATAGAAGTTAAGAGCCCCAACTCTCCCAAGAGCCGAGACTAATTTGATGCCAAATGTAACCTCCTAAATTTGGATCTCCTGAGAGTCCAGTACTATTCAAACCCAAAGATGCCTAATTTTAAGTATCCCAAGAACCTTAATTGATTAAAAAAAAGGGTGCACTTTTATTCATAGGCCCTTTTTTTTTATATTTGAACTATGGATTGTATTTCGAGTCATTCTCTTTGGTTGTTTATACATAGCCACTTGTGTGAATTAAAGCCTTCTCTTGAATATCTTCAAATACATATTTAAACATGCTAACTATTATGAGATGTCTTTTAACAATTATATCATCTATGTCAAGGGTTATTTGAGTTAGTTATGCAATTTGATATTTGCTTCTAGAGTTTCTTGCTTTATACAAAGTTAAATATGTCAAAGTAGATTAAATTGGATATATTATAACTAGCACTTCCTCAAGATCTTATGAGATTTATTTTTACAACTCTTTTTGATTGTTATAATGGAGGTTGATGTTGTTGTTACTTTTGTTCAAGGACAAAGATAAGGTCATGGTTGTGGTCATGATGTTTGCTATTGAGCATGTGATAAAGTTTATCATATATATCAATATTGTTAACATTTCCTGTTTTGATACTTGAAATTCTTTCAAGAAATGGAAAGTCACATAAGTAGTGTATAATCTCTTGAGTTTAGACTTCTTAAAAGATCATCCAACCCAATACTATTTAAACCCAAAGACGTTTAACCCCAAGTATTCCAAGACCCTTAACCGATTGGAAAAAAGGGTGCACTTTTATTTATAAACTCTTTCCCTTTATATTTGAACTTTATGGATTATCTCTCAAATCGTTCTTTTTGGTCATTTACATAGTGACTTTGCACAAATAAGTCAATGACCCCTTCATTCTTTCGAAAATACAATCAAAGAATTCACTTAGCACTGGTTCATTCCATATTCACTTTCTAAGGTCAATTTTGTAATAAAAAGTCCTTTACTATCCTCTTTGTATTGGTCAATATAGATTCATATTTTTCCTCTATTGCTTAGCTGAAATGGTTAAAGTGTGTATTTGGATCCAAGGATATAACTTATCTTAGGTACTAAATTTCTAGTGAAGATTTGCAAGTTAATGTTAATAAACCCTTAGTTATTTTGAAATTCCCTAGTCCAAAGTGTGAATGATATGCAGAGCTTCCTTAACAAAGTGCAATATCTTAATCATTTTATTAATCATCTTTCTAATCATACAACACTATTGCAAGTGTTGCTCAAATTGTTAATATCATCTTTTATTTGGTCTGAGGAATGTGAGTAAGCATTTATAAATCTCAAAAAACTATTGATGATTCTTTCAATTTAGTGTATCCTGACTACACTTAAGCACATGAATACTTTTGATATTGTTCTTAGGGGTGTGTTGATGCAAAAAAGTATAAGTGTACCTAGTCAACATTATCTTATTATATATATCAATTGTACATTATAACTAATAGAGGCAAACTACTTCATGATAAAGGAGCATTTAATAACAGTTCAAGATTTAAAATATATGCATACTTACATGGTTCTCCAACATTACTAAAGTGTGTACTTCATTATTAAAGAAGAAGAATGATCATACTACTCAATATACTCTAAAACTTTAGATATATAATTTCAAGTTTATTCATCACCTAAGAAGTTTTATAGTTATTGCTAATATCCATTCTTAAATTCCTTTTTTTCTTTGCTCTCTTTTCATATTCTTAATAAGTATGTTGTTCTAACATTAATAAATTTTCCAGACAAGGATTTCATGCTATCAATGGCTATTATACTTGATGTTTAGTTTCTATAAGATGCGAAGCTTGATTTACCTTCTCTTAACATAAATTGTAAAGCTCAAAAGATTGATAGTTGTGAATTTGAAAGTTTTGTGATAGGTTTGAGAATCTTATATCATTTGTTGATAATTTGTTATTTTGGTATTTACATTCTCAATATCACTTTAAGAATAACCTTCTTTATTTTATGCAAATTGATTTTGATGAACATTTTCACCTAATAGTGCTTTTGATTTTTATTCTACTCTCTCTTCATGCTTCCCATAACTTGCCTATTTTTTTTAGTTATATAGGACATTATTGTATGACTAAAAAGTTGTATAAGTTTTTCTATTAGCTGGAAATACAACATAATGTTATTTAGTAAGTGTGTAGCTATATTTAGTGGCAAGTTCATAATCCTCCCTGTTATACTGTAAAAGAACAGTTAAAGTCAATTGTAACTTCCTATCTATTTAAGTTAATGACATTTGATTTTATAAGCCTTTTCCATAGTTGATTGCTAACAATGAGTACATTATTATTACCTTTAACCACTTCACTCATTGAGTGGAAGTTAGTGCTCTTATTAATGTGTTTACAACTGTTATTAAATACTTCTTCCTCAATTGAATAATGTTTCAACATTTATGTCTAAAGTAGATTCTCTCAGATAATGATCCTATGTTTATAGCTAATGCATTTTACATTTAATTGAGGATATGTCACATTTTCATAAGTGTTTATTATCTATAGATGGATGGTTTGGTAAAATAACTCGTTCGAACTTTCAAATAGATAATTTTGAAATATTTGAACTTTCAATATTCAAATTGGGATGGTTTTTTACTATTTCTTTGGTATGCATATGTCATATAGGTACATAATTCTATTAATGTTTCACTATTTAACATTTTATATACTCATGATCCAATATTGCTAATAGAGTTAAATTTATCTTTGTGATTATCATAAGTTGTTGATGTTAGGTCCTAAGATTAATATTTGACAAGCATTCTTCCTCTAGTTCAAATGAAGTCTGTTGAATGAACACTTAGGCCACGTACAAATAAGAAAATAATAGCATCACAACTCTCATCATCATCCACTTGTAAAGTACAAAATGGATGACTTAGTATTGGTTTATTTTCCTAATTTTGCGGTATATAGTTTGTATGCTAAGAGCAAGGGACCATGTCAAGTGTTATAACAAGTTGAACTGCAAGTTTATGAAATTCAACATGAGATCCAATAAGTTAATCCTCAAAAAATAATGCATATAAAATGGGTAAAGCACTTTATATAAAAGGATCAAGAATAAATGGCACCACCTATATATCAACTAGTGTCTCTTTTTAATGTTCCTCTAGATCTTAATCTATCAACCAAAGAATCCTATTATCCTTCTATCCTTCCAAAAAAAGGGGATGATGTGAAGTGTAGTGAGTACAACTATATTGTTATATATGATTATTAGCATAGTGAAATTTTATAGCTATTGGATTGGATCACTGTAAGTAACTAAAGAGAACAACTTGAGAGATGATCCATGAAGTTCGAATATAAAAGGAAAAGGCCCATGAATAAGAATGCACCCCCTTTTCCAATTGGTTAAGGGTATT